GGTTTATTGTTAAGGTTAGATCTAGATAATTACACGCATGGAATGTGGTTAAATTATGCTGTTGATACTCCAATCCAAAACTAAGAGAGGCATTTTTATCACATGTCAGAGAAGGGTAGTCTCTGTAACAGTTTCATGCCTTTTCGTTCATTATTTACATGAATACATGCGTATTTTATGCGCAAAAATCGCCTATATCATGTGGTTGGTGAGTTTAAGGTCATTTGTCCGTCGCTACTTGCTGGTGCTTAACGTTTAATTTTGCCTTTGATCAGTAAATAGTCATAAGACACTGAGGCTCAATAGTAATCCGTAGACAAATCGGTCCAAGGAAGGAACAAACACAAGAGAACCAGGCTGGCCTTAGACCAGGAAGAGGGTGTATTGATCATATCTTCACCCTTCGACAGATTCTGAAACATAGGCATACCTACAGTTGGCGTCCAACAATCGTTATATTTATCGACCTAAAGGCGACATTCGATTCCATCGGCCGAGAGGTAATATGGCAATGTCTGGCTGTGAAGCGAACGATGAGAAACTGCATTGCACTGATCAAGGCACTGTACTGGAACTCATACAGTCAGCTGGGTGTGAGCTTTCAGAGAGTTAGTAGTCATCTGAACTGGTGACAACTAGTGGTGTCCTTCAGGGATGCCCACTATCTCGATTTCTGCTTAATTTCATCATAGATGTACTAATGGAATTAGTCCTAACTGCTGACTTCAGTGGCTCGAGGATTGGCTAGTTACCAGGGATTATCTCGTTGACTCAGAATATGCAGTCCCCCTAGGTGAGGACGCTGACAAACTGCAGAGTATTCTGAACACCTTGAGTTGCAATCTGGTAATGTTTGGCATGCGATTCGCTCCCATCAAATGTAAGATGATGCTACAAGACTGCACTACATCGACTAACTCCTAGCTTAAAGATAGGGAGTGAAGTGGTAGAACACGTTGACCACTTCACTTACTTGGGAAGTTGTATCAGCCAACGCCAGAGGGTTGATCGCTGACGATATTTCAGCACTCATACAGAAGGCTCGTTTAGCATATGCCAATTTACGCCATCTGTGGCTTAGTAAACGTGATATCCGGCTGGCTGTCAACCAAAGGCCATGCGTACTGCTCAGCAGTTCGCTCCATCCTCCTTTATGGCTGTGAGTTAGACATGGCCATTCAAAGTGGAAGATATGAAAAACCTGGCTAGCTGTTCTTGACCATAGGTACCTGCGTTCCATCTCCCATGTTAAGTGGTATGATAGGGAGAGCAATATTGAGGTTAGACAACGGTTGAGTGCTAGGTAAGGAGGCTGTGAAGTTACATTGATTGAGATAGATGGTTAGGACATGTGTTACGTATGCCTAGTCATCGCCTTCCTCGACTACGGGAAATGTTAGCTGATATAGGGTCAGGTTGGTAAAGAGCTAGCGGCGATCAAACAAACACATGTCACCAGTCAAAGAAATCTACAACAGTTAGTCTAAGCCACGTAGGAAGGTGTAGACTTCCGGGTTGGGATCCTCGGGACGGTTAACACTAATGGCTGGAGACAACTGGTGCTATGACTCAAAATCGTTCTCAATGGCACAGATGCATCCACTCTTTATAACTTCTTGTGACCCAATAGAACTATACCGTTCTTCGATATTACCCTTGTTTTTGCCTCATATCTCTGTTTTGAGGCTCTTTTTACTTTAAGTCTTGTTTTTTGTGCTAAGTGAAGTGTGGCGACTCAAACTGCTGCACATCAGTGCAAAGTTCTAACCACTGAAGCCATTTAGTATAAGACACTACAATGTTAAAGGTCAACAATTTTAGATACCCTAGACCTAAAGTTTGTTCCTTGTAGGCAGCCACTACTGGATACACCTAACTGCCTACCAAAGAGTGAATCAGGTAGTGAAATCAACAGAAAAATAATATTAAACTTTCATTTGTTTCACAGGTACTACTTTCATCTACTTCAAGATGACAGTAACATTCTTACTGGTTATATAAACAAAAAGAATGCAAGATATTGAAATCCATTGTGGGTAAATTTTTTGTTTTGATAAAGTCTTACAGAGTTATACAGTAATGTTTAATGATGACCACGTTTCGAGCACAACCTATTGCTCATAATTATATCAAGCCACTCACACGACTTCCTAACTTCATTTATATAGTTCCATTATTTTTCATCTGATTTTCATTTGATTTGATTGGTAGTAGTATTTTCCATATTTCGGGTATGAGTGATGAATCATTCCTATTGCATAGGTTTGGTGTAGACTCGATGAACAAGAATTCAGTAATCAACCTCTCTCTCCACCTACCTGTCTGTCTGTCTGGATTCCACATAGAACTTGGCACTGAAGTGCAGCAGTCCGAGTTGCCACGTTCCAAATAGCACACAAATGTAGACAAGATGAGTGAAGAGAATCAATAAAGTTTGACAAGTATAAGAGTGAAACACAATGGGTAATGGTAGAAATGAATATGAAAGATTACAGAGACTGAATACATCAGCGCTGGCCATTAACAATGATTTTGAGCCATGTCACCTATTGTCTCCAGCCATTGATTCCTAGAGTCCCGAAGGCCCCAACCCCGAAGTCTGCATCTCCCTACCTGACCGACTCAGTTTAATTGTCAAGGATTTCATGGATTGATGAGGCCATGTTTTTGTTTGGCCACCACTTACTCTTTTCCAACCTGCACCTATATCAGCTTGTAATGCCCGTCGGGGGAGGTGATGGTTAGGCATGCGCAGCACGTGACCTAGCCATCTCAGTCTGTGTAATTTTATAGCCTCGTCGATTGATTTTCCCTCTTTCTCCAACACTCTACGCCTAACGTCAACATTACTTACCCTATTAAACCACCTAACGTGAGACAGAGATCGCAGATATCTATGATCGAAAGCAGTCAACCTTTTCATGTCTTCAACTCGTATTGGCCATGTTTCAGAGCCATAGAGAAGGACGGAGCGAACTGCTGACCACCTAACTAGATTACTTTCTAGAATTATATATTATATTTATACCATATAAAGAGGGGACATCTGAGACACTACGTAGGATTCTAAATAAAGCAGGAATTAGGGTGGCATTTAAATCTACAAACTCACTCAGAGACAAGCTCTGTAGGTTAAAGGACCCAGTTGACCCAATTAGACAAAATAATACAATTTACAAAATACCTTGCAATGACTGTAAGTTAGGTGAACTACATAGGTCAAACTAGTAGGTCAGGGGTAGTCAGACTGTCAGAAAATAAGAATTTAGTTAAGGTAAGAATGGTTGACCCTGAGAAGATAAGTAACTTAGAAAAAAGATCAGCAATTGCACTGCACGCATCAACGCACAACCACACAATAGGATGGGAGAGGGTTAAAATTATAAAAAGTAATCTAAATAGGTGGAGAGAGAGAGGTTGATTACTGAATCCTTGTTCATCGAGTCTACGCTAAACACATGCATGCAATAGGAATGAGTCATCACTCGTACCCGAAATATGGAAAATACTACTACCAATCAAATCAAATGAAAATCAGATGAAAAAATAATGGAACTATATAAATGAAGTTAGGAAGTCGTGTGAGTGGCTTGATATGATTATGATCAATAAATTAAGCCCGGAACGTCATCAGTAAACATTACTGTATAACACTGCGAGACTTTATCAAAACAAAAACTTTACCCATAATGGAATTATACTCTACCACAGTGCACAAGTTTTATTCTTACATCAAAAATATTGAAATCACTTCAGACAACGCCATATTGTCGAACAGATATGCAGGGGTAAAATCGAGATGGGTCGGACACATGCTGTGGACCGGAATGGGAAAACACGAGTTGGACGTGGTTTCGACGGTGAGATGGAGGAAGAGGAGATGAAAGAGCTTATAGGCAATCGTGGAGACAGCTAAAAACAGGACTGCAGAAGGGAGAATGAAATGGAAATGTATTGTAGAAGCCGTATATTTCACTCGGAACCCAAGGGAATAATAATAATAAAGCAAAGCCAAACTCAGTAGAAGCAACAGAAAAGAATGAGACCTATTTAAGTGCCCGATTTCAAAAGTTAAACTAATCAACTGAACATCTTGTCAACAGTGGTCATTCTCTCTCTCTTTCTCAACAAAATCATCCTCCAAAGTAATCTACAAAGTGAATAACAACCTCAAGAAAACAATACTCTTTCGTTGTACTCTACATTGCTGAAGCTCTCACCATTCAGGCACAGTAACCAGAGTTCTGTTTACAAATTATACCATAGACCCTAGGCCAATAGCTCTTTCAGGAATTCATGGCTTCTAACCAATAGGTTCGCCAACACTAATGTATGTCAGTGGTGAAATAAAACAGACTAAAAGAAACACAATATCGGTGGTTCAGGAGTAAAATGCTCCTGAGCCAATGTGCACATGGTCCCCACCCCCGACCTCGCCTAACTCACCAATAGCCGCTAGTAAGCCCGGAAAAGAGGGAAAGGTTGGGTTGGGGGAGGCGTGGGACTAGCAACCTCACCCCGTTAAAAAGTACCCTGTTACTGAAACTTTTACGCTTAGGACTTGACGTCGTTTATATTCGTTCCACTTGGAACACAACGGAATGGCAACAACAACAACAAAAACAAGGGAAACAAACCTTTAAAATAGAAATATTCTCAGGTAGCATTATTTTCATACAAAAATTTAAGGGAGGAGAAAAGACGAACACTTTGAAACAAACGATCCATTTATATAGCAACACAATTTTCTACAATATTACATTTATGAAATAGTAGAACAGGATGCGAAGACTGTGTTCAAAGAGATAAATCAGAGAATTGGATATCCATGTTTAAAGAACAGGAGGAGAAGTAGAAGAAGAATGTGATATTCATTTCACTGCATTTGAAGCGTTTGTTATTTTGGAAACAGAGATCCTTAAGTTTGTTTGTTTTGTTTTTTTATTGTTGAAAATATACTCAAAAGTGTATGTTCACCAAGGTGTAAGAGATCATCATCATTAGGCGAGTTCAACACATGGTGTCAAGCAGTACTCCGGTTTTACCTGGAGAGAAAAAAAAGAACAGTATTAGAAGTTTAGGAGAAAGTTCAAACATATGTAAACATGAAATCCTAAAAATACATAATATAACATATAATAAAATATAAACACAAATCGATTTCTAGCTTTGAAACACAAAGCAAAGTGGTAGAGTATGTTGACCATGAAGGAATGTGTGTACTGCTCAGCAGTTCGCTTGATGTTCTATATGGATGAGACACGGCCAATGATAGTGAAAGATATGAATAGCCTAGTTGTTTTCAAAATATGCGTCTGCCTTTTATCCCCTGTGTCAGGAGTTATAATACGGTGAGTAATATTGAGGTTATTTTGATTTGACACTAGTAGCTAGTGTGATGTGTCTAGTCCTCTCTTTCGTGCAGACTAAATTCTATCAGTGAGGTTTGCAATGTGGCCACCACCACCAAAGGGCGTCTGTACTGTTCAGCAGTCCGCTCCGTCCTCCTTTATGGCTGTGAAGCCTGGCCACTGAGAGTGGAAGACATGAAAAGATTAGCTGTCTTTGATCATAGGTACCTGCGTTCTATCTCCCGTGTGAAGTGGCATAATAAGGTGAAGCAATATTGAGGTTACGCCATCGATCGAGTGCTAGGTAAGGAGGGGAAACCAATAGACGAGGTTGTGAAGTTATATAGACTGAGATGGTTAGGACATGTGTTGCGCATGCCTAGTCATCGCCTACCTCGACTACGGGAAGTGTTAGCTGATATAGGGTCAGGTTGGAAAAGAGCTAGCGGCTGCCAAACCAAAACATATCACCAGTCAATGAAATCCACAACAGTTAGTCTAAGCCACGTAGGAAGGTGTAGAATTCCCGGTTGGGGTCCTCGGAACGGTGAAAATGAATGGTTGAAAACAATTGGTAATATGGCTCAAAATCGTTGTCAATGTCTCAGATGCATTCACTCCTTGTGACTTATGATTTCCAATGAAACTATATTGTTCTTCGTTACTACTATTCCTTTGTCTCACACCTCTGTTTACTGTCTCTATTATGCATTTCTTCCACTTTCTTCTGTTGCTTTGTGTGGTACATGGAGTGTGGCAACTCGAACTGCTGCACATCTGTGCAAAGTAGCTCTATGTTGAAACCAGTCAATCAGTCAGTCACTACAAAGCGATTAGAAATAAGACATCATTTGAATTCTTCAAGCAACAATGTGTTCTTCGGATGTCAAAACTAAATTCAGATCTAATAGTTTGAAAAAATTTAGGCAGTGTAAAAATAACGTTGTTTTTCACTTGCTTTCTACAATATTAATGTGCTATTTAGTTTATAGTTGAACTATGTGTTACAACTACAATATACTGTCGACCGATAGCTGCTATCGTGGCATGGTTATCGGGGTTGCATATGACTACCGAATGAGCTACAGCTATCATTTCAGAAAGGGTTTTTGGATGACGATTAGACTAAAAGCAGTTACAAGTGCAGATCGTTTACACTATGTCGGGGGGTCTACGTTGTAAAATCGCATTGCTAGTGAGTAGGGAGTTGGTAGTAGTAAGGTGTTTCCTTCAGACCACGCGCAAACCAATTATGCTGCTCCTCTGTTCACAAGAGGGGAGTTAGAAAAAGTCGACCCTAAAAGTTGCACATCTCGACTTACTCAGAAGCAGCTCGTGGCCGGAGGTAAGATTTTAATAAGGGCACAACCCTAAAAACCAGTTCAAATAGGTTGTGTGTAACCAGTCTGAAGTTGTTATCTCCCGGGCTCTGTGGTCATTCAACACTAATTCACTGTTTCAGGTACCCTCCAACGGTACTCCACCGTGTGGGCAGCTGGGAAGTAACAATCAACCACACACTTACAAAAATACACAAAGCTCTCCTGATCATCGCCCACCTTTATCATCTTGCTTTCCTCCTACCGTTAATAATTTCCCACAGGCAGGTTCCTCATCTCCCTCTTTGCTCTGTGACCACTGATAGCGAAGAGAGCTAGATAAACACTGCCACTGGTCTCTTAAAGCCACATCGTCTACTTCATATCTCAGCATTTAACGTCAGTGCCCTTTACTAAATCGGACAACAGGCATCAATAGGTAGAACTCCGACGTCTCGGGCCATGGATGTTAGTTGTATCTCAGAGATACGCATACAAGAACCAAGTATGGTTATTCATTTAACAGCACCCGCCCAACAAAATCCACTTTACGAGTGTCAGGAGACACTTCGGTAGTTCTCGCAGACTCCACAGGTCTAAGGATGGCATTGGGTACTAGGACAGAAAAATCCTTACTCGACTGGATCCTAGTAAATAGTCGTATATTTGCTGTCTATCCTAACGGGTCTGCCACAATACAGAGATACCTGCCGATGTCTTTTCATAATCTCTTACGCCCCAACCGAATTTAGTTCGGACGAAATAAAGGATGAGTTCTATCAAAAGCCCTTTAGTTTGCTGGTAAGAGCTAAAACGTTCAGATATAGTCATTTTAGCACATAACTTCAACGCTCAAGTAGGGAAGTTTTGTCAGTCTGATAAGTATGTTGGCAGCACGGAGTTCCTTGCAAAGGAACAGACAACGGCAATTGTCTCCTACAGTTCTTTTCAGATAATAATCTGTTCTTGGTTAGCACTAACTTCAAACATACAGAGGAACATTGTTTAACCTAGCGACCTTCACCCATCAAAATCAACGATGGACTCAACTATATCAAGTAGCGTTAAGCTACCTGGTGGATAAGGTTCATGAAGAAAACTGCTGTCCCTTCTGAAACACCCGAATGGGATTTCGATACCAGTCCTCCAATTGTAACTTAGGTCGCAAGAGCTGTCTTTCATCCGAAACGAGGAGATGCAGCGGGACCGGACGGAATGATTCCTGTGGTGTTTATAGACGGTGGTGACAAACTGTTGTCTGGGTATTAGGCAATGTGTGGGAACCAGAGAGAGTCCCGTTCGGCTATTTTAAATTATTGACTTTCCGAGTTTATACAAAGGTAGACAAGTCTTCCTATGGTTATCATTGAGGAATCAACTTCACTAGTGTACTATCTAAGGCTCTAGGTTCAATAAGCATGCGTACACTGAACGATGCTTGAGAGAAACAAACTCAGGAAAAACAGTCAGACTTTAGGCTAGGAAGAGTGTGATCATATTTTCAACCTTCGACAGTTCCTGGAAAAAAGACACACTCATCGGCGTCTAATACTTGTCATATTTTTTAACCTGAAGGTAGCATTTTACTAGGACAAACTAGAAGCGCTGTGACAATGTATGATCATGGAATGAAGAGAAAGTATATCGCACTTATCAATGCACTTCGCTCGAACTCATGTAGTCATGTAAGAGTTGATGGAGCGCTGTCACATGAAGTGATGACAACCAGTGGTGTCCATCGAAAATACCCACAGTCCCTATTTTCGTTTAATTTCATCTTAGATGTACTAATGGGTATGACTAACTGACTTTAGCGATTTAGAATGGATTTGTTACCAGAGAAGACTTGTCGACTTGAAGTATGCAAATGATATGGTTCTCCATGGGTGAAGAACCCAACCAAATGCATTCTTTTGAACACTAAAAGAAATCATGATATTTTTGGCGTGAAATTTGCCCTTGTAAAGTGTAAGCTGCAGGGCTGGTCTGTACCAAATCCTAGTTTAAAGGTAGTGAGTGAAATGGCTGGGGGTCTTGACTGCTTCACTTATTTAGCAGGTTTCATCTCGATACGATACAAAATGCACGTCTGGCACTTGTCAAATAACATCACATCTCGCGTAGATGTGGTGTCTGGCTGTATCGACCGAAGGACATGTCTACTGCACAGTAGTTCTACTCTGTCCTTTATGAATGCCAGAGGAGAAAATTTGAAGGAACCAGACAAAATGAACTTCACTCTTAATCTGGTGTTTATTGATTACATCAGAGTTGGTTAGAAAAAAGATCCAAACAAGTAGTTCGCAATAGTCACCAAAAACAAAAAATTTAAACCAGTGATTTTCGCTTACCTTGAAAGGAGGACCGTATGCAGGAACTATCCAATCTGCTCGCTCTAAGATGTATCCCCGACTTCGACGCCAACAATTGATCATGTTTTCTTTGTCACAGTTAACCTCTCCGTGATTTCCTTCCAAAGTGTCAAAAAAGCTGACGCGACTAGCGTCTTGCATGTCTGTAAATAAGTTGCCAGTAACTGCTATACGACATGATTCACAGCTGTTGCCATTCTTCGAATCTACAAGACGTCCATTTACCACTAGACTGACTTGAGGACCACGCTGGCCAGGAGTTCCAATAACATAAAACTGAAAAAGTTGAAATTGTGAGTAGATGTAAATAAGAAGCCGTCTGATGTACATTAAACTATAGAACTGTGAAAGGGTAATCCTAACTTAGTATGATCTACGATAATCTTGTGAAGTTTTGAAAATCGCATTTCAACTTTTTGTTCAAACTTATAATAACCTTTAATTTTATATGGTTTTCTCACTCTTACCTTTTAGATTTATGTTGAATGAATAAAGTACTGATGAACATGAAGAGCTTAAAGTAATGGTTACAGTAATGCACTGCAAAACAAACTTTTGATTATCGGGGTTTCGGAAGCCTTTATAAGACACTATCTAGTTTCAAATGCCATCATGATGCAAGGTTCGAACAAACAAGAAGAGGACCCAAAGAAAACGGAAACAATTCTAAGGAATAGCTTCAGATTCCAAGTCAATCGAAACAACAATGCTTATTATGTGTTACGAAATCCCTACATGAACTGTCACTAGCTAGTATTAGCTTCATTAATGGAGGTAGTTCTGCATAAAACGATCACCGAATATGAAAAACTGCTAACTGACGATAAAGTATACCGCTGTTAGCTGTTATTAGTGGCTAATGAAAGAAATAAATACATGTAAAGCATAATTCTAGATAGTAATCATCATATGGTAGATTTTCAAGTATGTGTGGTGAAAAGGAAATATAAATGTGCACATTAATTTACGCTTTGTCAGTTGCACAAAAACTGTTAACAACACAGTTTGCCAAGCATGCAAAGGAAACATAATCATTGTAGACGGAAATCTATCCGAAAGGAAAAGCACTATGTTATCAGTAAACGTTCGTCTATGTGCGCCTAACCATTAGGTAGAACCTCATTAAATTATACAACAAAGAAATGCTATGAGCAACATTTAATGTCCGAAGGACGAAGACACAAAAGCTTTTATTAGACAAAAATAAGTAGGACAACGCCTGGACTTAGACCCGTCTGTTGGAAGTGAGGTACTTAGATCAACCACAAAATTTCAATGGCCTACCTTGTCAAAATGAGTGCCAATAAATCTGATCAAAGAAAAACCTGAAGACAGAAGTGAATATACATATGTCTGTTTTCGACATAGAACTTTGCACCGATGTGCAACAGTTCAAGTCGCCACACCACGTAGCAAACAACGCAAGAGAAGAAAGGAGAAGAAATGCAAAATAGACACAGTAGACAGAGATATGAGGCTAAAAGAATAGTAATAACGGAGAACAATACAGTTTCAAGGAGTGCACAACTAGACCACATAGCAATAAGCTATCGTTGGCGTGGGTCGGTAGGAGATTGTCGCTCCTTCTGGAACACGTGTGTAGATACTAATCACGCACTGGTCCGCGCTCGTGTGTGCTTACGACTGAACGGACGTAGGAAACAGCTGGTGGCAAACCCATCACGTCCCCAGCTCGATCAGGAAAATAAATCCCTATTTGAGGAAAAACTAGCTAAACACATATCTGAGTTCGACAGCTGTGCTCACCCTGAAGAAGCTTGTAAGAATATTCAGGCAGCAATACACACAGCTGTAAAATCTGTGAATAAGGTAAATCCAAATGTGAGTAAAAACCATTGGATTTCGACTGCCTCATCCGAAATGATAGATGCTAGAAGACTTATTCCGGCAAGCTCCAAATTCAATGAGGAGCGAAAGCTGCACAAAAGGAAACTTACGAAAAGTCTCCGCAAGAACCGTGAACAGTGGTGGGTAACAAAGGCGAAAGAGATGGAAAAAGCATCGGCGATAGGCAACACTAGGCAACTCTTTAGACTCATCAGGGAAACTGGTGGGAGAAGGCAAATCATAAGTGAAACAATTTCGGAGAAAAATGGCACCATAATTAGCTCCCAGGATAGACGACTGGAACGCTGGAAAGAACAATATGAGGAGCAATTTAATTAGCTCAACCTGCCGAACATCCAACACCTCCCTGAATGGGATATAGACACAGGTCCCCCTTCCTTAACTGAGGTTACTAAAGCTGTCACTAACCTGAAACAAGGCAAAGCAGCGGGACCTGATGGAATGACTCCAGAGGTATTTAAGTACGGTGAAGACAGCTTACTGTCTGCAATAACTGAGATTCTAAGCGGCGTCTGGGAATCAGAGGAAATCCCATCGGGTTGGTGTAAGTCACTGATTATCCCCATATACAAGAAAGGAGACAAGTCTTCCTGTGATAATCACAGAGGGATTAGCTTGACTAATTTAGTATCTAAAGTCCTAGGCTCAATAATCATGCGTAGACTAAGTGGTGCTCCGGAGGCACAAACACGAGAGAGCCAGGCAGGCTTTAGACCAGGAAGAGGGTGTATTGATCATATCTTCACCCTCCGACAGATTCTAGAACATAGGCATTCCTACCGGCGTCCAACGATCATTATATTTCTTGACCTAAAGGCGGCATTCGATTCTGTCAACTGAGATGGTTCTCTGGCGGTGAATTCCGAGAAAATACATTGCACTGATTAAGGCACTCTACTCGTACTCATGCAGCCAGGTGAGGGCTTACAGCGAGTTGTCATCTGAACTGGTGACAACCAGTGGTATCCATCAAGGATGCCCATTATCCCCATCTCTATTCAACTTCATCATAGATGTACTAATGAACTTAACCCTAACACACTTCAGCGACTCAGGGTTTGACTAGCTAACAGGGAATAATCTCGTTGACTTAGAATATGCAGATGGTATAGTCCTTCCAGGCGAAGACGCTGACAAAATGCAGTCTTCTAAACACCTTCAGCTGCAATCTACGGATGTTTGGCATGCGATTCGCTCCCACCAAATGTAAGATGACGTTACAGGACTGGACTACACCGACTCCTAGATTAGAAATAGGCAGTGAAGTGGTAGAGCACGTTGACCGCTTCACTTATTTGGGAAGTACCATCAGCCCCAACGGACTGATCTCTGACGAAATCTCGGCACAGATACAGAGGGCTAGTTTCGCATTTGCCAGTTTACACCGACTCTGGCGTAGACGAAATGTTCGGTTATCGACCAAAGGGCGGGTGTACTGTTCAGCAGTCCGCTCCGTCCTCCTTTATGGCTGTGAAACCTGGCCACTGAGAGTGGAAGACATGAAAAGATTAGCTGTCTTTGATCATAGGTACCTGCGTTCTATCTCCCGTGTGAAGTGGCATAATAAGGTGAGCAATATTGAGGTTACGCCATCGATCGAGTGCTAGGTAAGGAAGGGAAATCAATAGACGAGGTTGTGAAATTACATCGACTGAGATGGTTAGGACATGTGTTGCGCATGCCTAGTCATCGCCTTCCTCGACTACGGGAAGTGTTAGCTGATATAGGGTCAGGTTGGAAAAGAGCTAGCGGCGGTCAAACCAAAACATATCACCAGTCAATGAAATCCACAACAGTTAGTCTAAGCCACGTAGGAAGGTGAGGACTTCCGAGTTGGGGTCCTCGGAACGGTGAAAATGAATGGTTGAAAACAATTGGTAATATGGCTCAAAATCGTTCTCAATGTCTCAGATGCATTCACTCCTTGTGACTTATGATTTCCAATGAAACTATATTGTTCTTTGTTACTACTATTTCTTTGTCTCACACCTGTTCACTGTGTCTATTATGCATTTCTTCTACTTTCTTCTGTTGCTTTGTGTGGTACATGGAGTGTGGCGACTTGAACTGCCGCACAAAGTTCTATGTCGAAAGCAGACAGATAGACAGACAGTGGCCGGATCTCACAAGCATATATATATATATATATATATAACAGTGGTGAATACATATTGATATCGAATACTAGTTTTGAGCACACTTTATCTCAAGCATATACATCAAGATATAGTCAACTAGACCACTACGGTAGTCGAAATACAATAAACCACAAGAAAACTCTGACTTTCAGCTTAATTTCATCTAACAAATCTCCGTATATAATGAAAAAAATTCCTTCAGTCTAATCAATACTACATGGAAAACTAGTTAAATTGCAGTGATATTCTTCACAAAGAGATATGTGAGACACTGGTTTTAATTTTAAAAAGAATATTCAAGGTACTTGAAGGATACGAACTGAACTACGAAGTGAAGTATTATTTCGGCGCTATCGCTAACTATGCTGCTTAAAGGCTATATTATTAATTACTAGACACAAAAATGTCAGTTGTAACATACAAGACAATAATCTTATACTAACCACAAGGATACAAAAAAGCAAGCAACCATCTGCTTGCACTCGGTAACAGCCTAGAGAGCAAAGAGCGGCCAATATGGGTTTCAAAGATCTGATGGAAGTTGGAGTAAATTAGATTATAAAGAGGTAAAGGTCAAACCAGTGCCTCACGTTACTAACTATTGGGTAAGACGACGTCTCGATGTAGGAATTAGAAACATCAGGTGATTAGGATACTATGTTGTAAGGAAAGTTGCAGACAGAACTAAAAGGCCAATGTTTTATAAGCAGAAGGAAACTTTTCCTTTATAATTAAGAAATACAGAATTTGACTGGAAACTTACGTTCTCATCGAATTCGTAAGGTGAAATACCATCACAAAAATCATGCTCCAAAAACATATCCCCACGCTTTTGTATGTCGTATCCAACTATCATCATGTCAGCGGAACTGAATATGCTCATACAACCAACATGCTCAGCATGACCATCAGTGCATATGACTCCTTTTATTTCCCTCTCAGGTTCATGCACTCCAACAGACTTCAGCGAAGACAATAAGTCAGGACCATTCCAAACAGAGCCTGGATTCACTACAAACGAACCTGCCGGGCCGCGAATAAGTATTGTATTACATTTGCGATAGGTATGGTCAACTGAGGATCTTGCATATCGTCCTTCATGGAGAAGAATAACTGCATATTCGTCACTACCCATGACAAAAACAGTGGGAGGTTGACCAGTGATGAGCTCTTAGGATGTCTTTGGGTTAATGCAGTTAGCTTAATCAAACAAGTGGATCTAGAAAAATGTTTAAAAAATGGAGTTCAATGAAAGTTACATGTGTAACATGTGTACAATAATAAGTGGAAAATGTTGAGGGGAGAAACTGATATTAAAATTGGACTAACTGCATTATGATCATATGGCGGTCGTGTAAATAATTTGGGTGAATGAAGATTCATATGAACGACTGGTATATGATACAAAAATCTTATGGTGTACCAGTTAGCGATAAGTAAACTCTTGAGGAAATCTCATTTAAATGAACGTTTAGAAAATAGTACTAAAAAATAGCAGTAGACAAGATAATTTTCTGAACGGTATTCTGCTAGTGAATAACAAGATCACATCAATGTAGATCCTAGTTTCGCAACCATGACATATAACACGTTGATATTGGATCGGTAATAAATCCCATCACGTCAGTTGTTGTTTTGACATTAAGTACAAACAACGAACTGGCCTACCGGTTATGAATGCAAGTTTATGACAACAATATCACAAATGTGCAACGAAATGGACTGTCTTTTGTTCATAGGTTCTTCATATTGAAATGATAAGAATTCCACCAGTACGCGCACGTCTACCTGGACTCTGAAGCCTAGATAGGCAACAGCAAAAATAGACACCAGAACCAAATAACCTTGAATCAACCAATAAGATAAGTCAGTATTACACATGGATGTTATTCACTATCTTTGTTGCAAGATTCACCCAAATGTTTTTATTCCAATAATGCAAAGATTAGTCTTCCTAGGCACTACCATTCACATACTCGAGTGGAGGGCTTATTCGTAACTATCATGATCATTATGCTACAGTCATCATAATACTGAATTCAATCTCGCTAATTCTGAAATAACTCTAACATTCTATAGTGAGTAAATTCTGAATTTGAAATGGATTCTTTAGTGGCACACACTATAGCACACTATAAGCACGGATTAGCGTTACTTGAGAACGAAGACTTAAATTAGAATCCTGCTCTTTTTAAGCACGACCAGCGTTATTTCATAACACAGTGGGTAGATACAATCTTCATTTACCAGAAAAATGCATTATCGAAGAACACGTTAGAATAAGTTTAGAATTATTGTAAGCTTGGGTAATTTAGCATTGTATACAATAATATAGTAAGCCTGGGACCAATTATATATATTATTGGTAAATACAGGGTCATTTGATTTTCGTGTCTATTCTTTATTCTTGCCCAGTGGGGAATTCGACGACAATACATGAGAAGTCAAAGACTGCCCAGCCAACTATACCTTCAAATTACGAACACAAAGAGGATTCAACACTCCCGCGCTTCCAATATCCAATATCTCCCAGCAGAATTGTGTAAAACCAAACTGATTACTTTGTAGTCGTCTAATGGATGTAAAGTGAAGATTCTTGATATTCGGTAATCATTCTGCGCATGGCGTCCTGCTACTTAACCGTCTTGCCTTCTTACTACTGTCAGTACTATTCTGCAAGCTAGTCAGTCATCTTCATTTCATTCTGCAACTGCAGATAACAATGAGAACCATAGAAACGCCTCTTATAACCTCTTGAAGCTACTCCCCCGACTTCACGTAGGAGTATTCAACATCAGAACACTCTGTCAAATAGGATAACAGGAATCACTAGCAAGAACTCTAGAATCTCAAGCCATGGGTGTATGTTGTGTCTCGGAGACACGCATACAGGACCCGAGTGCGGTCATTCACTTAATCCCGGTCGGCCAACAATGTGAATCTGCGAAATTCACTTTAAGAGTGCCAGGAGACTCCCCAGCTAGTTCGTGAGGACTCGTAATTATAGGGGTAGCACCGAATGTTAAATCAGAAAAATCCCTTCATAGTAATGTATATTTTCATATAAACATATAAATTAACACGAAAATGCATGCCATTTTTACAGGCACGATCAAGTAGACTGAGTAGCAGTAAATATGCTTATGTATGCTGTCCGTGTGAACAGGTCCGTTGAAAGAATAAAGGATAGCGTTACCCATCAATGTCCTTTCATAGTTCTAGCTTACGCCCCAACAACCTCCATTTCGGGTGAACTAAACGATATTTTCCACTTGAAACTGTCTAGTTCGCTGCAAAAATCAAAACGCTCAGATATAGTGGTTTTAGCAGGCGACTTCAGTGCCCAAGTAATGAAGTCGTGCCAGACTAAGAAGTACATAGTTAGTAAGTACGGAGTTCCCTACCGATGAATTGACAGCAATTATCGTTCTTTACAGTTCTGTCCAGATAATCATCCGTTCCTGATCAGCACTAACTTTAGGCACAAAGACAGACGTCGCATAACCTGGCAACCTCCATAACCATATCAACGTTGGACTCAAATAGACCACGTGGCAATAGGGTATCATTTACGAAGGCCAGTGGAGGACTGATGCTTCTTCGGGAACATGAAAAATGGAATAAATATATCACTGATCTCAATATAATACATCAATAATCTTTAAGCCAACGGTGCTGTTCACAACAAAGTTATGTAAGATAATTGACTTCAAGCTTTATTTTTCCCATATATCTGTATTACATTCATGTGATGTCTGGGTTTTTGTTAATGCGAAGACAATATTTCTATATCTCTTTATGTGCTACACAAACAGACTTTATAGCAGACTGTTCCGATTGACCCTAATGTCAGAAAGAACAACCAAACTGTAAGTCCATTATACATCAAATTATGTGTAATTTATATAATAACTTATCCATGCCTGTACAATAGGTATGTTCCTGCATAAACAGGAAGGAATATATTATTATTATTATTAAAATATTTATGCACGCCTATACAATTGGTGTACCCTACATAGCTAGGAAAAAAATGTACTTTATTATATTATCTTTACTAAATATGCTTATTAATATTATGTGTAAATTATCGAATTGATGATGCCTGTAAACTGGCGTCCCTCATGTAAAAAATGAGAATACATATTATTATTATTATGTGTGTACACTCCGATCACGCCCTGGTTCGCGCACGTTTATGCTTACGATGAGATGGATATAAAATTGTTGGCAGCGAAGCAGTTAGGCCCCTAACTAGATCAAGGTACCGAGTCACTATTTAAAGAGGAAGTGGTGAAACGAGTGTGTGAATAAAACAATTCCAACACTGGTGTGAGCGCGGGCAGTAATTTTGCTCGAAATATTACCAATAACAAAACTTATCATTGTGTATAAACTATTGAAATATAATTATACTTTATATAACCTTCAAGAACATGGTAGTGTCTTATAATGAGATCAGTGACTGGATGGTAGCAAGGTAATAAAGCCGGATGACGGGTCTCATATGACGATTCTAACATTTGTAGACGTCCACCAACTCTAGCGATCCCTTCGGAAACTATCGGAGATAATCTATCTAACCGCACCTTGAAATCTGCGAAATCGAGACTATCCTCCTTGGCAATCCCATCCCACGCTTCCCACTGAGCAGCCCTCAAAATCGCTAACTCTGCATTTCTAATATCTTCGACTCTCAAAGGCCCCACATTCATATTTTCGTATCCCGCAAGATGCATGACCTTTAAATACGTAACATATCGTGTCAACCACGCAACAGCTTTCAGTAGTTTGTACCAAGAAGAAGGATATTTAAAAAGTGGATGTAAACCTGAATGTCTTTCTTGAGTAGATGTTAAACTGACACTTGTCTTCAACTCCAAGGCACACTCGTTTATCGGTGGTTCATCTTCTCTACGAGGCCACATACTATCAGCCCTTAGCAAGAACTCTGGACCTTTCCACCACTTATTTTTAACCACATTCATATCAATAACTCCTCGCGATGCTAGATCAGCTGGATTTTTTCCAGACGGTACGTACCTCCACTGCTCAACAGTTGTTAGTTCACGAATTTGAGATACTCTGTTAGCTACAAAACATGCATATCTTGCTGACTCGTTGCGTATATAATATATCACAGACATCGAATCAGTCCAAAACGTTACGGGATGCTTGGGGTAATCCAACTCTTTACACACCGTTGTGAATAACTGCGCAGCTAGTAAGGCGGCATTAAGTTCTAATCTCGGAATCGAAACCGTCTTTAGAGGTGCAACTCTAGATTTACCCATCACCAGGCTAACATCTATATTATCCCTTAAGGTGGTTCTGATGTATACGGCTGCACCAAATCCAACCTCAGAGGCATCAGAAAAAACATGGAAGTCAATTATATCATGATTTCTCGACGGCTTAAGTGGACGTGAGACGGAATGTAGATTCAGCATTCTTAAACTGTTAACCCACCCCTTCCACTCTTCTCTCTGCCTCTCACTTAATGGTTCATCCCACTGTAACCCTTTCCTGCATGTCTCTTGAAATAACCTCCTAGCCGGAAGTAGATAAGGTGCTACTAATCCAAGTGGGTCAAACACGGACGACAACACAGAGAGCACACCTCTCCGAGTAACTGGCTTATCAATATCACCAACACTAAATCCAAAGGTATCAGAGTTCACATCCCATCGCATACCTAATGTGCGTTCAACTGGTAGAGTATCAACAGGCAAATCTCGTACAGTAGGTGCTCTGTCTTCTGGATCTATATGCTTCAAAACGTCTAGGCTGTTCGAGACCCACTTAGTTAGACGAAAGCCGGCCTTAGCTAACACTTCAGTAATGCTTGTTGCAAATCTAACTGCAGACTTATCATCATCGAAGGAGGCTAAACAATCATCCACGTAGAAGCAACAATCTATGACGTCCAGCAAATCATTAGAACCAAATGTGGACACTGCCTTTCGTAGAGCAAAATTAGCACAAAATGGGGAGGACGTGGCACCAAATGGATGCACTGTCATCCTATATTCTGACACCTTACCACAAGGACCGTCATCAAACCACAAAAACCTCAAGTGATCTCTGTCACTCTCTGGCACCTTCACCTGTAGGAACATTTCCTCAATATCCGCC